GAAATAAATAAATAAATAGATAAATAAATAAAAAGGCTGTATTGCTTATACTCTGGGTAGCACCAGCTCAAAACCAGCAGTGGTAACTCGGCTTTAACAGAAAAACAGTGGAGGTTGCTCTGCAAGTTCAGAGCTGCAGAGCCCTGGGTATGGTCCTGGGGTGCCAGCAAGGCCCCAACCAGGCACCGGGGACTCCCCGGTGAGCCGTGACGCGGGAGGGAGCAGTGGGGGATTAAATCCCAGCCCAGCTGACTACAACCACGGGTGGGAGAGTTTCCAGCACATCCCCTTGGTGTGCACCGACCCCGTCTCTTACCCGTGCTGGGACAGGTTGGTGGTGACCAGCACTGTCTTCACCTCCTCCATGCCCCCTCCGTCCACGGCGCCGTCCGGCGTCGTCACCACCACCACCTCCTCCATGTGGACGCTGACGTCCGGCGTCGCCATCCCGGCAGGAGCGGGAGAGCCCTGGGTCACCAGCTGCCTGCGAAGAAACGAGGGGAAGCCCTGGGTCAGAAGGTCTCCCTGATAGCCTTGGTCATGGAAGGAACATCGGTGTGGTGGGACGAGGGGCTGCAAGGACCACGCGTTCCTACGGAGAAAGGGGACGAGCAAATGTCCAAGTGCTCCTTCCCAGCAGGAGGGATCAGGGGAGGCTCAACCCAACACACACCCTGCAGGCTGGGTGATAGTGATGGGCATGGGTGGGACTGAGGTGTAGGAGATGAAGGGCAGAGTATGAGAGAGGTCAAAAAAAAAAAATGGTCCTGGCATCCACCGAAAACTCTATGATACATTTGGAAACGCACCTTAAAACTGAGTATTTCAAACTATCTCAGAAGGATTTCATGCTGCCAGAGGAGCTCATCACTGTCTCCTTCATGGCAAAAACAGGGACTCTTCCTTCCTCCAAAGTCACACACACAAAATTCAAATTAAAAAAGCATGTCAAGCCCGCAGAAACAAAGTGACATCTGGAAACTATTTAAAAGTGTGCATTTCTAATAAATCAGCAATAGATGTAAGACAGCACTCCCTCTCCAGCTCTCTTGGAGCCCCTTTAGGCACTGGAAGGTTCTCTAAGGTCTCCCCAGAGCCTTCTCTTCTCCAAGCCAAACACTCCCAGCTCTCCCAGCCTGAATCCATAGCAGAGATGCTCCGGCACTCAGAGCATGTCCATGGCCTCCTGTGGACTCACTCCAGCAGCTCCACATCCTTCTGATGTTGAGGGCCCTCAAGCTGGAGGCAGCACTGCAGGAGGGGTCTCAGCAGAGCAGAGCAGAGGGAGAGAATCCCCTCCCTTGCCCTGCTGCCCACAGTGCTGGAGATCAGCCCACGTCCAGGTATGGAAAAGTCAGCGCCAACAAAGCATTTCCCATAGCACTAGTGCAGCCCACACAGAGACAGGTAAGGGTACACCTTGTCCAGGCCTGGCTGTTCAAGCTCAGACCCCCATGAAGTCCTTCAAGCAGTGGCACAGAGCACGGCAGAGATGCCACTTGGCTCCCACCACTTCCCCAGGACACAGCCAGAGCAGTACCCTGACCCACCCAACTCATCCAACGTGACTTCACAACCAGGTTCACGCCCTGCAGAAACACCTGCCTGACCCACAGGGACCCCACAACGTGATCTTCACCTCCATGGAGCCCATGGATTTATCCAAGGTGGACTGGCCCCTCCATGCCAGCCCAGCACGAAGCCACCAACAGAAGCACTTTAGTTTTCACAGCAGTGCAATCGCTCAGCTGCATTTGGCTCAACTACTCCCATTTTTGTTGTCACACTATCTCCACACTTGTCCTTCATTTCAGGGTAAAACCTCTCTTGCAGCATTAGCATCACCCACAATGGCCTCTGCACCAGCACCCGGCTTTGGGATGCTCCGGACATCCTGCCCAGCATCATGGGATTGAACTCCACATGTGCTTCTCAAATGCCTTCAGGGAGGAACTGGCATGGAACAGAGAAAAACTGAGCTGAAAACACGATTAATCTAAAAAGTGACTAAAATCACAGCAGCAGCGGGGTGCAATGGGGTGGTGGAGGAGGATGAGGGGCATAGGGGAGTACCCCAGCTCTGCCAGGGCTCAGGGTGCCCACGTACATCCCTCCTGGTGCACCTCACAGGGTGATGAGGGCGCATCGAGGGCTGTGGGAAAGATTGGGGTGAGGTGGGGAAAAAAATACAAAAAGGAAAAAGGAAAAAGCATTGCACAACTGGGAGGGCAGGAAAGGATTTTTGGGGTGCAGCATCGGGAGGGTAGAGAGCAGGGAGAGGGTTGCATTGGGGGAGACCACTGGGGACAGCAATCAAGGGGGTGCACAGAGGGAGGGGGTGAAGGTGGGGGTGCAGGATGTATTTGGGGGTGCACAGCGAGGGAGGTGCATGAGGTGGGCTGCAGGAGAGCACAGAGAGGGGGGGAGCACAGGGAGGGAGCTTCAAGGGGGTTGCAAAAGGGTGCACGGGGGGGGTGCATGGAGAGGTGGTTTCACGGACGGGTGAGGTGCAATGAAACACCAGGGGTACTACGGGAGGTGGGCTGCATGGAGGGGGGAGCACAGGGGGCTGCGGCTGCACAGGGTTGGGGGG